GGGCCCGCCCCGCACCAAGGCCTCGCCCCCGTGGGCCCTTCGGGGCACTTACCGCGGCACTCGCTGGTTGCGGCGGCGGAGGGCACGCCCCGCCCCGAGGCCCCCCGTGGGGAGGGCTCAGGGCCGTTGAGCGCCTCCTTGCACCGCTTTGGAATCTCCGGGGGTCAGTCCTCCCCCGTCGATACCTTCGAGCCACCTGGGCAACCAGCTTCTGAGCCCCTAGATATGAGGGGCATGGGGTCAAGGGGGTTCTTCCATTGTGCTGACCTCTACTTCCATGGCCCTGTGATTCTGGGTCACCGTTTCTGGGCAGGTCTCTTTCTGACCCGGTTGTGAGTCAGCCGGTTCTCTGCCTGAGGTTCTGAGCCCTGCGCTTCGAGCTCTGAGCGGTAGGTGTCATAGGCCTGCACCCTGTTCTGGCCTTATCCTGGATGTCCATCCGTTCCTACACTGTTGCTCTCATTTGGGAGAGTGTAGTGGTTAAGATCTTGGCTGTGAGTGAAGCTATGCCACGAATTAGCTGTGTGATGTGAGAGAGAAACATCGATCTGATGTCTCCCCTACTCGCCCTGACCCGATGGAACCCTCAGCCTAGGTATGTGTTCTGACCGGGAGTCTAACCCCCAACCTTTTTGGTGTACCAACAAACTGAGCCACTGGCCAGGGCAACATTTTATAATATTTTAATTAAAGAGAAAAAAGAAAGCATATTAATAAGAAAGATGTAAACCTGAACACTTGTCATCCACTCAACCTGGATATTCTTGCCAGTGTGACAACAAAAATAATGACATCATGACTGTGGATAGTGGCCTATGATGAATATTAGTGCAGAACCTGTGTGATAACCAAGTGGATGAAGGCTTAGGGGACAGAGAAGCTAGCCTAAGCCATAGCCAACTCCAGTTCAGCTTGAGAAGTTGCTGGTTGTTTAGAACATGGTATTCACCAGTTATTGCCACTGGATCTTGAACTGCTCAAACATTTGTTGATGATAGCGCAAGTATTCCATAATGCTACAAGTAATCAACTTTTTACTTTTTTATTGATATGTAACATATGTAAAGTCCACTAATCTTAAAATGTTGAATGAATTTTTACATATTTATATGCTATGTGACTACCATTTCCAGCAGCAAGATCAAGTGTATCTCCAGCATTCCAAAAGACTCCTTTCTTGCCCTTTCCTTAACACTACACCCATAAAGGTGACTATTATTTGACCTCTATCAGTATAGATTAGCTTTTCCTCTTCTTCAATTTCTTTTCCTTTTTTTTAATCCTCACCTGAGGATATTTTTTCCATTGCTTTTTCAGAGAGAGTCGAAGGGAGGGATGGAGGAAGGGGGGGGGGCATCAATGTGAGAGAAACACATTGATTGGTTGCCTCCTGCACATACCCTGGCCAGGGCTGGGATGGAGCCTGCAACCAAAGTACGTACCCTTGGCCAGAATAGAACCCGAGACCCTTCAGTCCACTGAGCCAAACCAGCCAGGGCTGCCTCTTCTTCAGTTTCATATAAATGAAACCATATAATATGTACTCTTTTGTGTCTGACTTATTTTTCTCAATATTATGTCTGTGAGTCATCCATGTTGCATGAAACAGTAGCTCATTATTTTCAGTGTTTTACAGTATTCCATTGTATGTATATACTACAGTGTATCTATTCTGCTCTTGATGGGCATTTGAATTGTTTCCAGTTTTTAGCTATTAGAGAGAAAGCTACTATGTGCAGTATTGTACAAGTCTTCAGGTGGACCTAAGCACTCATTTTTATTGGGTGCATACTTATGTACAGAATTGCTGGTCCATAAAAATTTACAATGTATAGATTTAACCACACGTAATTTTCAGGTTTGTCTCCATTGAGCACTTTTATTCAGAAATTAAATCATTCAGGTATTTGGCAGCATGAAACACTTCAACATATCCATGCAGATTTGAACTGGTCTTTTCTTCTTGTTCATCATATCTTTGGCTTTTGGGATTTTATCAGTTCCTCAAGCTTTTTATTAGTGTTTCTCTGTGGCTCTCAAGAAGCTCTCGCTCGGCCAGCATGGCTCAGTGGTTGAGCATCAACCCATGAACCAGGAGGTCATGGTTCAGGGCACATGCCCAGGTTTGGGGCTTGATTCCTTGTAGGAGGCATGCAGGAGGCAGCCGATCAAGGACTCTCTCTCATCATTGATATTTCTCTCTCCCTCTCCCTTCCTCTCTCTAAAATCAATAAAAACTTATTATTTTTTTTTTAAAAAAAAAAGCTCTCCAGCCCGGCCGCGCATGGCTCAGTGGTTGAGCGTCGACCTAGGATCCAGGCGTTCGGGGTTCGATTCCTGGTCAGGGCACATGCCCGGGTTGCGGGCTTGATCCCCAGTTAGGGGTGTGCAGGAGGCGGCCGATCAATGACTCTCTCATCATTGATGTTTCTATCTCTCTCTCCCCCTCTCCCTTCCTCTCTCTGAAATCAATAAAGATTTTTTTTAAAAAGCAAAAAAAAAAAAGCTCTCCAATTTTTTCCACAAGACACCACTATCCACTTGCTAGGCCACTTAAACAAATTTCATTTCTTTGTTAATTAAGAAACCCTTAAAATCCTAAACACATTCTTCCCAACATGCATGGACTATTTTAGGTTTGTTTCCCTGTGTAATAGAAATGATGCAACTGGCAACACCAAAGAACTTCCAACTCTTCCAGCTTATTACGACATTAATATTAGGGTAAGCATTCATGGTCTGGGAGTCAAGAAGGAATCTCAGCCTCATGTATGTGGTTTAGGTCAGCAGAGTGAAGGATAGGGGTGATGTTTGGGGGAGAAAGACTTCGATATCTTTATGAACACACTCATGAAGTACATGGCACCTTAGCATGGTACTGCTGTCTGCAATCAGGAACACTAAAAACAAGGCCTTTCTCTTTGAGATCCTGTCCACTTCTAGAACCAAGTCAGGAAAAGCTTTTCAGTCACCCTGGACTTTGCATTTGATTGCTAGAGTGCAAGCAATTTTTTTTTTTCTTTACAGCACTGGCATCTGTATCCCTGTAGAACATGCCTGGCTTTGTTAAATACAGAGCTACACTGCTACCATGAGAGACCGAGGGAGGGGCGGTCATAAGGTCTTCAGTTGCCTTCAAACCAAGGCCTCGTGTATCTAGTTTGGAAATAAAAAAGCAGTTGGGCATTTCCTCCTAGAAGATACCAGCCTCATTATATTCTGGAAGACAGCCCTTTGTTCAGTAATTCTTTTCAGTAGCTCTGGGTGGGTTTTGCTGCCTGTTCCTCCACAGATACAGCCTCACCAAAAGTTTGCACGTTTTTGAGGTTAAAGTGGTTTCTAGAACTGTTGTGCCATCCGTGGCTGGTTTTGAAATCCTTCCATCCAAAGGCTGCCTTCTCTGGCAGGAGGTTTGAACTGTGACTTGAAACTAAGAGCTTTTCTTTGCCACATATTGCCATTGCTAGTAACAGATTTCTGGTTCATTTCTTCCAGGCATAAATTTAGTGCTCTTTCAGTTTTCATTAAAGAGTTATCATATGAACTTTGCTGTTACTGGAGTAGTTATAGGAGAACTTGATGACCTAGAGTCACAAATTTGTTGAATTTTGATCGCATGTGCGGATTTGTTGAGGTCGTATTTATGTGCCACATGGGAGATGGGCATAACACCCCTGGGTAAGTAAGCTCGTTTTTTCTCCAACAAGGGATTGCTGTGAATTTGGTTTGGTGCCAAATGAAATGGTTGGATTGCCTTTCGATGGGTACTTTTATACGGTAAAAAGGCACCTTAAAACACTGCAATCTAGTTTTAAAAACAAAACACTAGAATCGCAGTCAGCTTCACAAGATACACACTGAAAGGCCCCGAACTGGTGCCAACAGAACACAGTCCAGTCTCCCATCTCACACCCGCGTGGACTGGTGGCTGACGACCTCCTACCCTCTATAATCTGACTATTGTTGCGTTCACGTTAAATGTCTATGATGAAACACCACATCTAATTTAAACCTCACAGCAAGGATATCCCAATTTTTACAGATTCGAAAACCGAGGCTTGGAAAGGTGAAACGACAAGACATCCTGCAGAAGCCAAGGGCGGTGGCCAGCTGGCGGCTGCAGAACGCGCCAGCCGCAGCGACGAGCCCAGCCCCGGGCGCCAATTGCATAACCCGCGGCGACGCCCGCGTGGGCGGGGCCGCTGAC